TATTCCATATCTCAAGTAACCTCAATCCAGTTTTACACATCTCAACATAATTTTAGCCTAGTTTGCATTAAACATTTGTCAAGAAAATTATCTACATAAGTTCAGTGTGAACCATTTAATTACATTCGAAAAAGTGTAACTGGATGGCTATAGTACAGTGAAGATATAACCTTATTTTTGATTTTTGCCTGCCCTTAATTTTCATGATCGCCATCTTATTGTGAAAATGTAGAAAATTAAGGGCGTGCAAAAGTAAAGGGCTTTACAGCAAACCAATTAACACTACTTAATAGTTTAAAACAGGTACTCATCAGCCTCTCAACACCATGGTGGGGGGGGGGTCATGATGTTTCCGACGAAAGCGTAAAAGTCCATGGATGGGCTGGCACCACCCCTGCTCAACACACATCAATTACTATGTATTCTTACTATGAACTTGGCACAGATTTTGATAAAGTTCATTAGAAAAGCCTCGTATTCCACACGTGTCTGATGTAAATATTTGAAAGTTTGTTCTTGTAATAGAGCCTCCAGACAGTCAAAACAAACATCTTCCTCAACATAGTGCAGTAGGGCACTCGCAATTGGCAAGAGTAGGGGGCAGTAGGTTATTTCTGGATGTGCATTTTCAATGACCAACATCATTTTGTGTAAAGTCTGCTGCCCTTGCATGTTGAGTTTGTAGTAGAGTACATGACTTTCATCAACAAACTGTGGTAAAGATAGAGTCTCAACAAATTCTAAAAAAAAAAAAAAAGGGAAAAAAAAATTAAAAACTAATAGCCCTTACAACAAAAAACATACAACAGTAACAACAATAATGTAGCATTTTTTTTTTAACTACAGGTGAAAAAATAAATGAAAATATTTAATCAATTATTATTAAAAACCAGAAGATAGATAGTATTCCCTTATTCTCATTAAAAGTGGAAAGAATATTTTATTACATAAAGCCTGTCCCTACAGTAGTTTCGGCTTGTCGTTTCACTGTGCAGCTGAGGAGGATAGATTCATCCAAGCAATCAGTGTATTAAGAGATACTTTGCATACCAAACTCAATAGAAGAAAATTAATGGGTTACTAAGAATGTAATGACCAGGTTGTGAATTTGCTATAGTATACCATATTAGGTGATCTGTGCATAGGACGACACCGATTTTGAAAGATTTTTTGACGATTTTTTGTATGTCAGGTGTGCTCGACAACATCAAAACAACGATTTTGAAAATTACAATATGAAAATTATGATACTCAACACAATATACAGTACCTTCTTCTGCTTCTGCTCCACTATTTGCTAAGTCATCGTAAACAGATGGTCCCATTTGTTTATTCCGAAGACACAGATCCTTCCAAAGACATCGTCGAATTGGGTGTGTAATAGCCCAGTCTGACTTCCTGACACACTTCTTCAGTTTCTGTTGGTCACTTTTCACCAGTGAAATTCCTGCTTCCGTGGCTAAATGCTGGTCACTTTCCCCTGGCATCGACACATCATCTTCTCCATTTGTAGCAGAATGCTGGTAATTATGCTCAGATACAAGGCAAGTGAAAACTGACGATCTGCTGGTAGCCATCTTGATTTATCTGACTGACAAGAAGGAGTAATCAAAAATTCAATATCAAAATTTTGTTTAATGTTGATTTATGTTACTGTAATTCATCTATAAATTTCATTTCCTTGAAACTGATTTTCTTTTTTTTTGCAAAGTGTTTATTTTGCTGGCTTTCCTGAAGGTTAGGCTGAAGTGCGTCTTTTACTACACATCACAAAAAGTAAGAGTCATCATTTATTTATATATAGCAATGTAATGGTGATATTTTGCATTATTATTACTCATTTTTTAAAATAAACTTTCTTACAATTGACATCTGTACATAACTATATACAGTACACAAATCATTTGACACAAAATTAACATATTCATTTATGCAAATTACATTTCAGAACCTGCTGAATATTCATGATTTTTAAAAGAATGGTACAATTTTAAACCATTCCATCTCACTAAAATACTTATTAAATAATAATGAATTGCCATGTAATATGCAAAGCAGAAACGTACGTTTTATACATATTTAACACCATTTAAAACATCAGACCATAATTGATCCCACAATTAACAAAATATCAGTAGAAAATTATATAATTATATCAGTAGAAAATTAGGTAAATATTTATGTATTCTAATTATATTTTGTCATTAAAATAAAATCTACACTGTACTATCAGTTGATACAATATAATTTAATCAAAAATATAAGATTGATGCCAAGTAAAATAATATCTTACACCATAGTTACCAACTGTTTTGCATCGTGCAGGATGGTCCTGCATTTTTTAAAGTGATTGTGGATGAAACACGCATTTTGCAGAAACACATGTGTGATCATAAATTTGTCACACATTTAGCACAGTACATGCGTGATAACGAATTATCACAAATTCAGTGGAAAATGTATTTAAATTAAAAGAAATTTGTTTTATTAACAATATAAAAACGGTCATGCAGTAACATGAGTCATTAGAGAGGTTCCGTTATCTCATTTGAGAATCTTCTCCAAGTAAACAAGCAGGCCAACCACGCACTTAGTAGAATTTAGGAGGCGCGTGTGGGCTTGCACGTTCATTGTTATAACCACATGACGCTTTCAAATCTCTCAGGTTGGTAACTATGTTACAACCCCTCTGCTGATAGCCATTCAAGCAAGTCCTTACTTATCAGCCAGAGAATGGTACAACGGAATAGAAACGCATTCATGAGTACGAGGCTTTAGGTGGGTGGATCCAGTTATAAGCACAGGGTGGTCAACAAACAATTATTTAACATTATTTTGGTAGTTAATTAATAAAGTACGGTAAACTATAATAAATAATGTATTCACAAGTAACTTTAGAAGGCTGTTTACTCGAAATAATTACCTATTTTCACTCAATAGACTTTTAATTCCAGTAAACAATGTATTCACAAATAACTTTAGAAGGCTGTTTAATGTGTGCTTAATTAGAATTTTGGATTTCATGTAGAGTATTGTGATGAGAGGCGGCCCAGTGTAAAACAGTGCACACATCTGGGTTACCCTCCAATAACAATTATTAGGAAATGACAAATAAAGTTAACTACTGTATAAAGTATTAATTTCTTTCCTAGTGAAATTTTAATAACTTCTTAATACATGAAAATATTGTAACAATTGTGATTTAGTCAGTCAATTATGGGTACTCAGTGCTACAAACAACCACTACAATATATTTTTCTAATTACATCATATGCTTTATAATCAGTTGGGCGATTCCATGGTAACTGACGTTACACTTCATTCTTTATTATAGCCACTTTATATTAAAAACATGAAAAATCTACAGGGAATTTTTTTTTTGCTACATGGTAGTACTATGGGAATGAAATATAGGAATAGCAATTTAACAATATAAAAAAAAAATTTTTTTTAAATATATCTCATGTCCAAGATATAGACAAAACATGAGGGAAGGAAAAATAGGCTAAAAAAACAGTCAGCTGCCAGCCTCTTTTCCAAGATTATGCTGAACTTCTCAACACATAAATCCTGCAATGGAAACATGTCATGCGCAGATATTAAAAGTTACATACAGAAAATTGTCCAAGCGGAATTCTCAGCAAAATTAGATATAGAGATGTGGGGGTAGGAAAAAAGTCCTGAGAAGGTACATAAAACTATTCATGCGTTAACTCAGACATAGAGATGTGGGCTGAATCACTATTGAGGTGCTAGTTAACGTTTAATAATTTTTTTGGAAAGAAAATAATGAAATTATGTCTCTAAATAGAAGTTCATATGCACCAGCCGAATAAATGTAGTACAATTGTTTATCAGTGAGATTAATCTGCTCAATAAACAATTTTAATTACTTGTGCAAATAGAGATGTGGGTAATCCACATCTCTATATGACTTTTCATGTATCTCGACCTCCTACAGTATGTATAATATATTCAAATTTACCACGCTTTACAATCCAACCAACATATTCACACACTTTGAATGCACATGCATAACCAATACCTCCTTGATTTACTCAACTTTACATAGACTTCGTTGCTATTATGGTACTTTCCCCAATCGTAAACATCGTTCGTTGAGTCAGAATTCAGATCAAGAATATGAGTTTCCACAATCGTGATTATTAGTGTCAAATTTGTTGAATATACTTTTGATGCAGGCACATTTAAACAGTAAAATGCTAGTAAAGAATCCTCTTATTTACAGTTTACAGTATATTCAGTTTTTTATTACATGTGTTGTCATCATGTATAGATTAGACCAAAGACTGAGTAGTAACTCTCTTATAGTTTATTACAAGCACAGGCTCAAGCTGGCCTGGGCTTCCTGAGGATTCATGCCTTCCTTGATATGGCTATAGATAAATGACATGACTGTTATTATTACTGAGTGGAACCCTTATGCCAGGGGTAGGCATGAAAATCGGTCGGAGGGCCAACATGAATTTTTGATTTAACATAGAGGGCCGCACACAAACTTTGATGTTTCCAGTGAGCTTCCAAAAACCTCCAAGCACTGCTTTTACATCATTTTATTCTCAGTTTCAATGTTACATTTTACATATAATTGGTGACTGTAAAAAACAAAGTGTTTTCTAGACAATTTTTATTGGCGGGCCGCAAACATAGGGTTTTTAATTCATTGTCGTGGGCCGCAAAAAAAAATTGCTGATGGGTTGCATGCAGCCCGCAGGCCACACTTTGCCCACCTGTGCCTTACGCCTATTTATCGATAACAGTATTAAAAGAAAATACTGTACACTTGCCCAGCTATATCATGTGCTAAGTAAATTATTCTCTAGTCACACCGTTCACCACCTCACACTGTGGTGCGGGTGCCACGGCGAATAATTTTCCAAGTAGTTCATAATTCTGATTATTTTATGTTTGTTAACCTGAGTTAAGTTGCTGTACCACAAAACACAGTTGCTAACAAGTATACTTAAGACAACACTTTTAAAGAATAGTAATAAAAACTGTGCTGACATTAGAAAGTCTTAAGTTTACGTAAAAATTAAAGATGTTGGTTAGCATTTTTACAGGGCCTCTGCATGCCACTTCCCACTACCACCCTGCTATAGACAACTACTTTAGATCTACAGAAAAGCCTAGGTAGGCTAGATTATTATTATTATTATTATTATTATTATTATTATTATTATTATTATTATTATTATTAGTCTAGCCCTAGCCCTTCTTCTACTAGCTAGTACTACTGTAGGTCTAGGTCTAGAGAGGCCTACCCTAGCCTACCTCTATAATATAGACGGACAACTAGCGCCTAGGCTATCCTGCAATAACTCACGTGAACAATTTCATCAAAAACACTAAACTGTACAGTCAAATATGATCAAGTCATACCTATGCGATCCCAGGGCATAAATTATCAAAGAATAAAGATGATGTAGGCTAGGTAGAGCAGGCAAATCATGGCCAAAAGACGAATTAACCTCAGCTGCTTCAGGTTTTTCTTTCTACCTGTTATTTAGCTCGGCAATAGGCAGCTAGGCCTAGTGTGGAGTAGTGGCAAAGATAATAAATAGAGCAGAAGATGGAGCAGCTTCCCAATATAGTGGAACATCCGTTCGAAAGGCATTGTGGGTACACGGAGAGCAATTTCACCCCGTCCGCGCGGCGGCGCTATATAGCAATAATAAACAGAGCCGTAGATAGAAGGCGCCGCTCTGGTTCGTTTGTTTCCTGTAGTTTCTCCACTTAGTAAAATGGTCAAATTTTACCCCATTCGCAGGAGGGCGGATGTTCCATCAATTTTAATACAAATACGCGGAGAAGCTCATTCTTCTGCTATGGAAGTTCTTTATTTAGTAGTGGCACCTGTGACACTTTTTGCGTGCAAGTGTGTACGCCCACAGTGTGATGATGTCATGATCATTCATGCATAGCCGTTTAGGATCCATCCAGGGCACAATGGATCATAACATTCAGAGTACAAAACATTGTGATTGTAATTATCATTTTGAGATCGACATATTTTTTTTTCAAAACACTATGAGAAAAAAAGATTAAAGTAGGGCTACATACAGACGTTAAATTGCTCTATAGGCCTACAATTATTTCCGTGTGTAGGAACAGGCAGCATATTATTTTTTCAAAACAGAAAATAAAATATTAATGTACATCAGACGTTAACAGGGGCGGATCCAGAGATTTTCTGACGGGGGTGGGGGCGGGGGTGCGTGCATAATATGAAGTCCACGTCGCCACGCCCACCTCCGCCCCACCATGGTTGGTGTAAATAAGTGGTAAACTCCCTTTTTCTCTCTTTAACTCAAATTTTCTCCCTCTTTTTTATTTTTTGGCTTTACCGACGGGAAGGGGGACACGGGCCCTCATGCCCCCTCCCCCACCGCTGGATCAGTGCCTGGTTAAATTGCTTACAATAACTCCAATTATTTCCGTGTGAAGGAACGGTAGCGATTCAAAAATGACACTACACCAAACTATAACAAGGCCTACCTTTCTTTAGTGGCGTGGCAGTGCAGCCAGTGCAAAATACCGGGGCCAGGGCTATCAAATAATGTCTTGAAAAAAAAAAAAAAAAAAAAAAAAAAAAAATAGATGTGTATAAGAGATGGCTATAGTACAGCTACTTCATGTTTCCCTTTCTACCTGTTATTTAGCTCGGCACTTTAGACAGTGACACCGGTGACACCTTTTGCGTGCCGAAGTGTGTACGCCACTGTGTCAAGATCATTCATGCATAGCCGTTTAGGATCCATCCAGGGGTGTCCAACCGACGCACGTTTCGTAACATTTTCAGAAGAGTACAAAATATTTTGTGATTGTAATTATCATTTTGAGATCGTCATATTTTTTTCCAAAACACTAGGGGCGTTAAAGAAAAAAAAAGATTAATGTATGGCTACATACACTCGTTAAAAATTGCTTTATACCAATTATTTCCGTGTGTAGAAAACGGCATGCGGCAGCACATTATTTTTTCTCAAAACAGAAAGAAAAATAAATATTAATGTACATACAGACGTTAAATTACTTGCAATTATTTCCGTGTGAAGTAACAGCAGCGATACAAAATTGACACTGACACCAAACTACTGTATAACAAGTAGGCCTAACTACCTTAGGGATAGGCCTAGATCACGCAGTGGCGTAGCTACGAGCAGCGCAGCCAGTGCAAAAGGGGCCAGGGCTATTTAGGGGCGCGGCCAGGGCTATTAGGGGTCCATTCATAAATAGACCTAAAAATAAAAATTTAAATAATTTCTTTGAAAATAAATACTATTTTTGAAAACGGCCAGCGGGCCCCTCAATATACCCAGAACGAGGTATTCGGTTTTTAGTGGAGGCCTAATTATTGATTACTGTGTTGATTTCAAATCAGTGGGGTGCCCTGAGTTGTTCAGAAGTTACTCAGAAATCGGACTCTCTGCGCCCGCCGCCAAAACTCCGATTTCGGAGAAGTTTGCGTATACGAAATCTCCGGAGTTTTAATCAACTTTTAATCAACACCACCACACACCCCCCTCCCCTCCGATTGTGGAGTTTCTGCGTACTTATTATTATCATTATAGGCCTAGAGAGAGAGAGAGCAAAAACTGTTAGTCAACCCTCCGATTTTCGAGGTTTGTACTATACATGAGTTTCGAACTTTTAATCAACCTTCTTTTGGAGGTCTGACTCCGGAGTGGAATGGAAGACCGATTTTGTGTAGTGTTAACACACACATTGCCATTTTCACTGTTCAACCGAATAATTATTTAGCGTGCCGGCCATATTTTCGGATGTCATGTTACTTAAAGAATCATAACTCCTTAACGGAGGGTCGTATCGACATAATTTTTTCTTTAAAATGTTAGCAAAGAATATATCTAAGTACTGTATGAGTAACAAAAAAAAGTTAAATTTGTTTAGTCTGTCAAAACTTAATTGAATAATAGCAACATGTACGGTACAAAATCGATTTTCTATTTTCCAGTTAAGTTTTGACAGACTAAACAAATTTTCATTTTTTTTTTTATTCATACAGGACGTAGATATATCCTTTGCGAACATTTTAAAGAAAAAAATATTTTGACAAGACACTCCGTTAAGGATATATGATTTTTTGAGTAACATGACCTCCGAAAATAATGGCCGAAACGCTGTGTTATTTCTGTTGGTTACGCTTTACTGCTCAGCATCTTTTGTCATCGATCGAAGATGTCTACCGCAGCATGAAAAAGGCCTGTTTTTTTGCTTTTTTTTTTCTTTCTATTTTTGATGCACCACACTAGACCGGCGTGAAGGCTGTCACGCACTGATGAGTAAAATAAAATACGTTCAAATAGCGCCCCCTATTTTTTCTCATTTATCAGATTTATCGCAGACTTTTTTGTTGTTGTAACGTGGATTCAGGATGTATGTTTATGTTTAATTTAATATATTTAAGTAGCAACAGAGTGTAATTGATTTCATTATTGCATGATTGTTCGTAGTAAGTATGTATCTGTCATAGTATCAAATTACTGTTTCCCTGTTGGTTTATTAAACTTAGTATAGTAGGCCTAGTTATAATAAGTTTGCAAATGTAGCAGCTGTAGGCCTAGCTAGCCCGATACTCAACGCCATCATCATGCAGGTACTGAGGTAGTGCATGTTTTGTGAGAAGGACCATGTGTGCACTGTGAAGTGTAAGAAGAGGTGATGTGGGTGGACCATGCATACACATGAAGGAGCCGCACCGCATCCTACGTACCTGTACCAGTAGTAGTAGTAGCCCGGAGCTGGAGCTCTCTTGTACTGGGGGGGGGGGGGGGGGGGGGTGGATGCAGCAGCCACTCCAAGACATGAGACGCTTGTGCTACCTATTTTACTGAAAATTATTATTTTCTTCGTGGCTATGTATCAACGGTAGGTTTAGACCCGAGGTTAGCAAAAAATCTTCGCTTTAAATCGTGTGAAAAATTATGCTACTTTGATACGGGCGGAGCATCTCTACCCAAACATATAAGTATTTCCCTGTTTGGAATTTCTGCAGATATTATTCTCCTGAAGACGATTGAAGCAACTGCAACAGTTCTTTTCAGAATTACCTATGTGGTGTACCGCAAGCTTTAAACATGTAATATTTATTTATTCAGATTATTTTTGGAACAATGTCATTGTCAGTATTATTGTTTTGGTATCGTTTATCAAACTTTTTTTTAAAAATTCTGTTATTCTTGTAAACAAACATTTTATATTATGTTTTGTTTGCTTACAATTTTTTGTGTCGTAATTTCTTTTCTTCTTTTGAACAAAAAGTGTAACTGCGTTAGTCTGTTATAGAACAATGTAAAAAAGAAATGACAGCAGCACTTTTAAGACGAACAGTATATAATTTAAACCATCGTGTCGGGATTCAATATTTCAACATTAATTATGTCATCATCAGGAATGTATATAATTTATTCTCTAGCTTTCGTCCACATCAGGAGACTGTACAAATGAAATAAGAAGCATCTATAATATACAAAAGAAATAATGGGGGAGGTCCTACTACAACAAAGTATGCAAATGTGGTGGAAAAAGCAACTACTAGTCTGCCGAAAAAAACAACCCTAATAAACAATATTTAAAGAACAAAAGATCAGTGATAAGAAACTGAGGGAAATATAGCATATGTATAAGGCTAAAACAGTGAAAAACAATTGCATCAAAATACAGTATATATATAAACCATATATACAGTATAAGCTCAGTAAAATCCAGGGGATAAAATGGTACAGTATAACAAAAATAATAAATACAGTAACTATAATACAGAGTAATTTTTTTCTTTTAATGTAAAACTTTTTAAATCCAGTACAGCTAAAATTGTAATGTAGTTATTGGTGTTTTGTTATTTTAATTATGATACTCATGGTGTAGAAAAGTATTTTTCATTGGGGGTGGGTGGGGGGATGATTGAAAATTCTTGAAATTGACATAAAATTACTGATGTCTTACACACCCTTCAGTGTGAAAATGTGGCTTGCTTTGCAAGCACATCTAACATCTAAGGGAAGAAGAGCTTAGATTAATACCAGATAAAATAATTTTGTTATCAATATTAATACATTATGCTAATTTTCATCTTGTAAGCGCATAAGACATTGTAAATTATTTCTGTGACAGTCTTTTGAAGAGTGTAAAGCTCCATTTTATCCCATACATAGTCAAAATATTGGGGGAGGGGGGATGATACAATGGACCATCCCCCCTTGGATATATCCCATATTCCCCATCCCCCCCGGGATCTACGCCTATGCTCATTGCCCATGTTTATTTCTGCTTTAGTTGTGAACTTGCTGGCAAGTTTAGTTACTGTAGACCAAAATGAATAGAGCAGATGGGACGGATAGACAGGTAGCTGTGCGAGGCCGTAGAGGACGTGGATTCCGTCCAAATTATCCATTTTCGCCTTGCAGAAGACCAGGAGAATCAGTACAGGAACCTGCAACAAGCATACATAAAGGGTCAGCCAAAGAACAGATCTCTAGTCACAATGTAAATATAAAAGCACCTACTTTATCGACAGAAATAGGTACAGATGGAAAAGGTTGGATAGTTTTTTTTTCTAAATACAATATTTTTAAAAATGCTAAACTAACTAAACCAAAATTTTTCTCTTTCTCAACACAGTGGCAGATCCATGGGGTTCGGTAGATTTGGACGAACCCCATCTGATGAAAGATAAAAATAATATTTGGTCCTGGCCTAGAAACAAGACATGCTAAACTATATAGGCCTTGTTCGGTAGATCGGATAGGCTAGGCTTAGCCTAACTAATCTTCAATTAAATAAAATCAAACAAACAATTTTTGGTTTGACTTCAACTTGACAAATTTAGAACCCCTGCTTAAAATCCTGAATCCGCCACTGAAGCATGAAAATAATCTAAAATGTTAAGATATCTGAAACCAGATGAATTTATGTTTACATTCCATATTGATTATTGTCGTCATCTTCAGCGTCATGATGATCATTATCAATCATTATCATCTTATTAATGAAAAATGACCTTATTCGACTGGTTCCTTTCATTGAACGTTTTCATTTGGCTGGCTCATAAAGTAGGCTTTGAAACAGAAATTAACGTAAACCAGAGTGAGTTAGTTTACAATAAGTTATCCATGTGGCCAAAACAAAAATATGGCCGATTGGGTCAGTTTAGCAACAACATTTGTATTAATATAATTTAGAGTAAATTTCAGAAAATAATAATTATAATATTTACTCACAAAGTAAAAAAATAAACAGAATTCAAAAACTGCATGAAAACATTATTTTACGAAAAAACTCATACTGCAACAACATGTAAAGCTGAAGCAACCTTTATTATGCTAGCTTGTATCGCAGTAACTACATAACCATTTTGTTTAGTTGAGTATATACCAGTTTCTTGTTATGTAGGGTTGCGCAGGCAGGACTGGTTTAACAAAGAAGGCCTAGTTGAATACGGCCATTGATTATACACAAGGCAAGCTGATCTTGACGCATCACTTTAAATTATGGTGTTGGAATCCAGTCTGCAAATTCTTAATATATATGTTATTATGACAAGCATTATATAGATGAATGATTTTTTTTAATTATTATCAGTCTCAGTTGTATTACATATACCTGTGCAGTATTTATAATATATATTATTTTTTATAATAATTACAGTATTTATATTTACAGTACAATATTTATTGTGTATTGTGCATCTGAAGTATAATTATAAATGAAGCATTTCTTATTTCTCCCACATATGATGTTTTATCTTCAAGATGATGTTCAGTTACTTGTAAAATACAGCTACCAAGCCAACGAGAGTAGCCCACTTGGGGTGCCAGAACTTACCATTCAACAAGGCCAGAAAGTTATATTTGTTATGAAGCATAGCGAGAATGATCAGTGGTGTAAAGTTAGAACTGATGATGGCCAAGAAGGATTTGTTCCTGCATCTTATGTGATGGTTTGTTATGTTTCTATACCTACCGGTATATTAATTTTTTTTAAACCTAAATTGTGAATGATATTTGTATTACTAATGAATTGTGTTTTAAACTGAGCAATTGGCTGGGAGGTAATGTTCCTGCTTCTTTTGCTGAACACCCCATTTAAAATTTGACTAGTGTTGGATTTTAATTGGAGTCGATATCTCGGCTCCTCGAATAACCGTCGCATGATGGGAACATGTGGACTGGCACCAAACTATGAAGCGCCAACAAATACTCTTTGTGCCCATTATAAGTTGGGGAAATTGAAATAAAATATGTTGGCCAATTTTGGTGAGGTTTCTGATATTTTACGGTCAAAATTTTGAAACTCGCGGTCCTTTTATTGGACTGGGGGGTTGAGAACGAGCGCTTTCAGTAATACAGAATCTCATTTAATAGCTATTTATCATTTTATAATAGGAATTGGAAAGTAAGCCAACAACACTACCATGGCTACAGAAGACAAATGATGTGGAAGACCAGACAGATAAAATAACAAGTAAACGTAAGAAACTTTCCAAAATTATTCAGAAATAAAAAAAAAAAAAAACCAATAGAATAATTACCGGTAAGCAGTTTCCCAAGTCATGGTTTTAGTTATATTGTTTTACCATTGAAAATATTATTTAAAAGGGGATAAACATTTCTGTCTGAAATGATATTTTTACCTCACACACTATTTTTGCATTTTTTCCTTCTGCCCACATGCTGTTGGCAGAACATATTTTGCTTGCTAAGCGACAAAAAAAAAATGTTATTTTCTTTATTTCTGCCCTACTGAGTTTTCAAACAGAAAAAGTCCCTATAAACAATGTGTAAAAAAATGTTTTGACTTGAATGGTTCATTGTTGATTAGCTAAATTACACTAAAATTATGTGATTTTAATCATTTTTTTGAATAAATTTTCTTTAATAACATTTTTTCCTGAAGCATTCTTCAAACCGTATGTACCAACCTACCAAGAGAACAAGTATGAGCTACCAAACGATCTAAAGAGATTTTTTTGCAAAATATGCAACAAACAACTCAATGGTATTAAACCTTATAATGCACATATGTCAAGCAAGGCACACAAGGAGGAACTAGAGTACTATCAAGAACAATAGTAGAAGCAGCAAATATCATAACTTTTACCTCCCACTATACTGCTATGATGAATAACCACAGGCGCCATAATTTAATAATAGTTAATAATATAGCAATTATCAGTGCTGTTGAAACTTTTACATCCCACTATACTATGATTCATAATGAGAACAAATAACTTACATGTCCTACTGTAATATACTATGAGCAGCCAAAGGTGCCATTCTAAAATAATTTTTAACATCAACTTTACATCCCACTATACTATGAGCAGCCAAAGGTGCCATAATTGAATATTTGTTAACATCATAACTTTACATCCTACTATATTATGAGCAGCTGTTGGTACCATAATTTATTAAAAGCATTTTATAAAAATAGTAAATAAAAGGTTCTCTAACCATGTACAGTATTGCAGCTTTATTGTGTTTTAAATACCTTGTATATAAGGCCTGCATATAGACATTCCATGCCAACTGGAAATAAGCCTACAATGAGTGTTGAATTCAAAATAGAAAAATTAGCGAGAGTATTTACATTTATCATAATTCTAGACTAGACCACTGTTGTTATCACTTTCAGTATTAAATTTTGTGTTATAATTTACTGTAGTTGTATATGGATTTCTTTGCCTGGAGTCAAACTTCTAATGATCAATTCTTAAAGTTATACTGTACTGTATCAGTGGGGGATTTAGCAATGGGGGTTGGGGTGAATAATGCGATTTGAAAAGCACCAAGCGCGGGTTGGGGGGGGGGGGGGGGGGGGGCTGGTTTTGGCAAGGGCACAGATCTGTTTCGAAAGGTGAGGGGGACATTTCGTGATTCCCCACACACCATGTTGTACAGCACCCTTTTGTTAAAACCTGGGTCATTTATGCAGTTCATTTCAACTACTGTATTTTCAGGCATCTTCTTGACTCACGAAATTATTACATTGCGGACGAAAAGTGAGCAGACCAACCTCCCACCCCATTAAAATATTTGGGGACGTGTTCCACTGTCCCCCATTGATCCTTCCAATTGAGATTTGTTTGGAGTTAGTAGACGGGTAGACGCTCTTGGATGACATCCATCAGCTTAAAATAGAAAGTGTATGCTTTATGAGGGTAGCCTACTACACGTAACATGTATACATGAGAAGCACACACACAAGACAAATGACCTTTTTTTTTTACGGTCCCCGAGCCGCCACTGTTCCTGTTTGTAAAAATATATAGGCCTACATAAAGTGATTGCAGTGCCTGGTGGTCTGGCAAATTCCAACCTACCTCAACCAAAGACAAAAATATAGACAAAAATTCAATACATTTTTGCATTGTCTGAATATTAATTAAAAGGGACAGTAATTAAATTGGCTGTGCAATGTACTGTTGAGTTTTTTTTTTTTTTTTTTTTAAATTATATTTTGATTTATATGTCACGATGATGGTTAATCAAAAAACAAGCACAGGGGGAATATACATGTGCGTTGATTCGTATTACCTATTGAAAGGCATATATAATGTTGTTATGCATATTTAGATAAAAACCTGGTGGAAGTAAAATCACACCAATCAAGTTTGGGTTTGGTCAGAGTATAGTTGAAAGAATTGCATTACCCTGCTTCCTTTAAGGATAAGTTATATTATGACCAAGTTGTTATAATATGGATTTTAAACTGTGATATTATTAACTAAGGCCAATGAACACGTAACATAAATCATACATATCAAAATTATTATGTTTAAACGTTCCTCATGTCTTGGAATTTGGATCTAACATGTGTATAATATACACATGTTATAATGATACTGATACAACAATCGGAATTCTCTGTACTATATGCTAAATATTTACAGAGTGCAGTGGACTTCCTTATGTTGTGGTCATATTAGTCTTAGACTAACTAATATTATTATTAAAAAAGGCAATTCAACAAACAACATAGGCCTAAAACATATACATATCAAAGTTATTAGGTTAAAGTTCTTACGTCGGTGAATGCATAAAACGTAATTTCCTAAAATTTGGATATCTTAAGATCCAAATCCAGACAGTCAATCGAAATTCTCTGTACTATCTCTGCTAATTTAACGAGTGGACTTCCTTATGATTTAAGGAAATGTATACATATTGAGCTACGCAAAGTTTAAAAAGTTAAGAGAGGACTTCCTTATGTTGTGATCATATTAGACTGTAACATTAATTAAGACCATTAACTCGGCGATCCAACAGGCAGTGAATATTCCATTTTGATTTAGTGTAGATTTTTTTACATGTTATTTTGTTAGTATTCTTCTTATTTTGTATGATTCGATCATTTGTTATATTTTCCACAGACAGATAAATGAATGCCTGAACTAATATTTTATAGGTTTCATATTACTTTCTATACAAAAAAGATATTCTCTAGAGTATCAGAGATCATACAAGCCAAACAGTCCACTTTCCACTGAAACGAACCTCTTAGGTCACGCTATGGGAGTGTCTATAAATCGAAGACCGAAGACCCCAAAACGTTTTGTTTTGTATAAAACGAAGACCCTTAAGTATCTTGATATTCCTCATTTTATTCTGATAAAATAATGAAATAGGTACTTGGCAACTGTTGTATGATGATTTTGAAATACTTTCAATAAGATAATTGAGAAATTGAGATAATTGAGGTCTTCGTTTTGTAGGGTGTCTATAAAACGAAGACCCTTGAAAATTTCAGACACTTAAAAAATGTCTTAAATTTGATTTTGTGACAGCCTGGCGTATTATCATCTAAATAAAAGAGAACAAATAGGGGTCTTCGTTTTTGGGTCTTCGGTCTTCGTTTTATAGACACCCCGCTATGGGCTGTAATCATTTGTCCGACTGTGTGCATTTAACATTAATTTGATGGCGACAATAATGTCGCCAAATTCCCAACCGTAACTCAGGCTACAGGCCTCGCTTTACACTTCACATCAAAGGGCTTGTTAATTAATCTTGCACAGGAGCCTGTCTTTACCTAGCTTCATCCTCCACATCATCTTCTTCATCATCATAATTATTAATCTCCATCATCATAATTATTAATCGTCCATAGTAGAGTAGGAAAAAACGAAAGTGCATTTCAAAGCATCTAGAAAAAAAAACTTTTCGAAGGAGGAGCTAAAGACTCCCCCGCCCAATATCTAAAATTTGTCTTCCAGCGACAAAACAAGCTAGCTCTCTTCTCCACCACTGAAACCCATCTGTGCAATAGTCAGGGTAAACTCTGGATCCGCGGTTAACATGTATTTATTAAGAGAAGTGCTTTAAAAAAAGTTATACCTGTATTTTACAGTAGGGAGTAGGGAAGGCCTTGATCAAGCCAAACCCCCAACAGACCAGTGACCTTGCTTCAAATAATTCCAGTGGGGGTAAAATCTTTTATCCCCTAGATATGCTACTTTCAAAACTGACATAGTAACAGACTTGCTATGATCAGTAGGGGATTAGGCCCTGGACAGGCCAAACTCCCATCAAAGACTAGACCAGTGACCTTGTCGGCCAGTACTTGTAGGACCAAAAAAGCTCTTAAGATAGTATAATACATACTCCAAGAATCGAAATGCACGCCATCGTGTCAGAAATGATTCCTGATAATGACATAATTAACGTTGAAATATTGAATCCTGACACGATGGCGTGCATTTCGATACTTGGAGTATGTATTATACTATCTTATCTGAGATTAATCAGTGGACCTATCAGTTTTTGAAAAAAGTTCTTACAAGTACATATTGTAACTTTTCAAATGTTTTGGGCATGATCATTAAAATGCCAGAACAGCTTTCCCCCCAGTGAGAGCATTGCCAATCCTTTGATCATAAAATAACCTCACAGGATGACAAAATGGTCTGTTGTAACGGTGGTTATTACCTGGCTGGCAGATACATCATATACTCAATCGGTAAACAAAACTAGTTATATGAAGGCTGTGACTACACTGCAATGCATGTTCGCCCACTGTATCCTGTCGGCCAAAGCCTGGCGCAGTCACCGTCCCCAAAAAAATTCTGTTTGCTTGAAAATTTAACATTTATAATAGAAATCTCAATAGAATGCCAAGTATACATGAGGATAGATAACAAAGCTCTGGGAAGGCTTTTGTTTTAATCTGTGGCCTTGTTCATATCGTCATCGTTGTTGGAAGTAAATTTGTTTGTTTCCATAATAACTAAAATTTGGCAAGTCTTCTGGTTTCAAACTTGGCAGAATGCAAGATGGTAATAAAAGTGACAGAGCCTATTGTTTTTAGTACTTGTGTGGTGAATATGCTAACTGCATGAATTCAGAAAGATCGTGTGCACAGTTTTTGAGTTTCACAGAAACAATCATACATACAAAATGATAAAGGCCAAAACTGTCCATTACAGAATATTAATTACTAATACAAAATGATTTAAAGTTGATGACTTTATTTTTTTTCCTTTTCACTGATTAAATTTCGGTAGCAAAATCATATATTAAACATTGGTATAGTATAAATTTTTCCAAAAGTTAAAGAATACATACATTGGTCTCTTTTTCTCTTTAAGCTTAATTATCTATAAGTAAATAAACATGACAGATTGTCAAGTAACATCACTGTTCATAAAAAAGATCAAAGTAACTATTGTACATTTGTTTACATTTCAAATTTAATAGCAGTTGTTTGTTGTTTAGCCTAACTTTCACACTAATTACAAAATTAGTGATTTCAGTTCTCATCTTAAAAAGAAGTTTTACATGTTTATATTTATCAAAAATTTATAATTAATAATAAATAGTCAAGCTCTTAGTGTGTTTAAATAAATTAATGCATACTGTACATTGTTTAATCAATTTCTTATTTTTAAAATAGTTTTCCATAAAGTTCTGGACAATATATATTTTTGTTAAAATTCAAATGTACAATACATTGACGACAGCATGAATGTTCTAAGTTCAAGAAGTATCGGTTTCCATGACTTTTCCAGCCTTCACTGGCATACATCTTGTAGACTTTCAATGCACTCATTGTATTACTATCAGTCTTCAAGGCTGTGAGGTTTTATATTAAATGTGTACTTCAATCCATTTGGTTGAGCAAAAGTTCTAAAACATCATGTTTGTAGGCCATAAGATCAATAACATCGTGATTATATCTGTTATCTACATTACAACAGAGGAATACTCACACAAAGGTTCGGCCCATACAACTGTTAATTCACAAATTCAAAATGTACACAAACATGTTTTTGGTTGGACAATAAAAGGATTTATGCCCCCGATATTCGTTGTGGAATGGTGTGAAAATGAAGCTACTCTAAGCGTCTCTTCGACAGCTAGGTAGTCACGGACCATGCCTATGCAATTAAACACAAAGATGCTACAAGTTATAGGTTATCCTACCACAACATGTGTACTTTCTGTAAGTGAACAACAGTACACCTTATAGAACATCAGTGCTTCCCAAACTTTTTTTCCAGGGACCCACTTTGTTGATCACCAAAAACCAACTTTGTCAGAAAGGAGGTAATTTCACTCACAGGGTTTTATTAAGCTGTAAAAATATTGACAATAAGCAATTATCACTATTAACTTGTTTAATACACTATTCAATTGATTTCCAGTGACAGAAATAACGTGACTACTTCTATATGTACAGTACAGGGACTCTTCCACTAACCACTGAAAATATAATAGCAGCCCACTACATACAGTTTGGGAAGCACTGCTGTACAATTCGGCTGATATTTTCAATTGCAATAAACTTGAATAACCACTCCATGTTTAACCTTGTTGTCTTTGGATCGCTCGAGAGGCACCGGCATCTGAATGTTGATAATATTAGTTTGAAGGTTCCAATGGATACTGGCAGATGGGCCATCCGGATTGCATATTATTCCCGAATCTGTAATTCCACCTACAAACTTGTCTTCTTTATTATAAACAACAATTGCAAGTCGATAAGACTTTCCAATTTCTGAATTCGGTGCTTGCAGTTTATATGTGATTAAACAATCCTCCACATAACTAACACCTTCTTTCGGTTTTGCTTTCACAAGATTGGCAACCATGTACCAAGGTGTTGCACATCGTGGCTTTTGCCCATGTTGCATTGCATTGACTGTGAAATATTGTTGAGACAGGACATTAGCATTGACAACATGGCAATGTGGTCCACTTAAGAAGAGTCGGGGCAGAAATTTATCATGGTGGAAGAGATTAGACATTGTTGACAATGCATGGAACTTGTAACCTTCGAGAATATAATCTTTTAGTAACTCTTGATATTCAATCCCAAATGCAGAGTTTTCTATCTGGAGTATCTGCTCAGATGCCATTTGAGTGAAACGGAAATATTTTAGCAGACGACGCAACATATCACCTATATTTGAGTCATTTTGAGCTTTCAACCAATTTTCAAGCGCTTTAAAAAATGAATGTTCATCGCGTATGATTACCTCTGAACTTGTAGCAATCTGACATATTTGGTCGATAGTTAAAGAGAACCAACCCTCTGTGTGGATCACAAGAGGAAGGTTAGATCGTATAACAGCATAACATCGATTTACCAAGCTAGCCAAATCATACATTTCAGCAAAGGTTAACCAGTCCAGAGCTCCTTTAACATTGCGTTGTCCAATTTGCTTTGTCATGTATTCTTCGCATAATTTCCTAAGTTTAGACACATTATATTTGTCGGCAAGTGTAAATATTGGCATAATACTATCAACAGTAACTGTTACTTGACCACAATAAAAATAAGAAAGAAATTCTTTGAAGTAAGGAGTGCAATTTTCTTGTTCCTCAAGATGGATATCAGAGGTTAATGAATCCTTCCACTTTTTTGCAGTAAGCATTGTTCGAAAAACATCACTAGATGCTGCAAGAAAAAACTTGTGTGCATAGAAAGACATGTCCCCAACATGTAGTGTGACATCACTTAGTTCAGGGTTCATGTAGTAGTGACTCAGACCATCAACAAATGCATCAAATGTGCCAAGTGTTGCCATACCCGATGAGTTCTGGTTTGCCCTATATGTATTTTCAGTTGTCTTGGTGAGTCTGTAATTAGCAAAAAAGAGATCATTATTTGGCATGATAAGACCATACAAAAAATAATATTGAACTGTACACTATTAGAAATGTAAGTGAACCAACCAACAGCAAGATTATTGTCTGCCAAAGAGAAAATTTCAGATGGTATGAACATTGGACTGTTGAAACATGAAAAAATATATCCCATTGTACAGCACACTGGAATTTACCACTTCCCCTGCCCCCAACCCACAATTATGGAATCACCTATATGATAGTTACCAACCATCTTACATTGCATGGGATGTTTGCATTTCAGACTTTTTTTTTTAATGAAAAATGCAATTTTTAAAAAATATGTTTGATCAAGAACTTATGAAAAAACTAAGTATGGATACACAAAAAATGACCAGTGTACGGTTAAACAAAATCATGGAATTTCTTAGGTAAAAAAAATACAAGGTATGATAGACTAAATCCGAGAACTCACAACATTGTACGACAGTCATACGACCATCGGCCTATGAGGGTTAGACGATGCTCTGTCGTCTGATGATTGTCGGTGGCACTCTGAACGGATAGTCATTAAAATATCTGTTGTGTGCACGTTGTTGCGTTCTTCACTCACACACATTTTCATCAGTCACATTAAATTCTCCATAAGATGGTAAGTGTGTATATGTAAGTTGTGGATGTGGATTTTGCAATGGTGCATAGATGAATGAATACCGTAGAATGGATGACAATAATAAGAACAATGAAAAATTTTAATCATAAGCATCAACAAAGAGAAACAAAAGAAGAGTGATATAGATAGGTAAATTGATGAATTGAACCCAATGAATGAATACATAGTTGCGACGTTCGATCTACTACCAGTAGTACTTTCTTATAGTTCTTATGTAATAAAAACACCCTCTATCAGCTCTCCCATCAGGGTGGTTACGTAAGATCTAGTAACACCTCACAAAACAAGCAGCACCAACACACGTCAGTGCCAAATGAAGTTCTACTGGTAGTAGATCGAAATGTCGCAAGTATGTATTCATTCAGTGGTTTCAATTAATGAATTTACCTACCTATCATTATTTGGAAGCCTAATGAATTTATTGGAAGAAATGAAGAGTAGAATCAGATGAAAAGGATTGAGGTTTAAACCTCCTGTTTTCTGCTGACATTGACACACATACACAAAGATCCCCTACCCCAAATATTGCAACTTACGACTGTTGTGGAAGATTACTTTCACTTGCTTGATACTTTCTTTGAGCAAAGTTTGTATCGACACCTGAAGTTGAAGTAGCGTCCATTGTACTGTACTTGATAGCAATGAAATCTTAAGTGGTGTGCAAGAACAAAAAAGTAAGCCTAGTTTGTCACTAGTCTACTCTTGCCGTGTCTACCCCTGAATAGAATGCCTGTCAATAAATTTCAAAAATGGATATTAATGGTGACGAAAAAGAAAGAATACTTTTGTACTTTTATTGTTTTTTCCTGCAGCCTGCCGGGGCCCTTGCTGGACTACAGAGGCCCCTACCCAACAAGGTTCCAAGACATATGCTGGATTCATACCAGTAGAATCCAGCATAAAGCCTTACGCCATGATGATCCGTGCAGAACAATGTAAACGAAACATTGATCAATACAACATGCAAATTTTTCTTAAAATATATCAAAATACGCTAGAAGTGTGCGGGGGTCCCAACTCTCCGCAACTCGAGGGAGTCTCCCGGAATTATGATCGCCTCCTGCACTCCCGCAAGCAAGAGTTTCCCGGAAAATAACCCATCTGCTGCAATTTTTAATATTTTTATGTTTTTACAGCTTTATTATCAATTGTATCACGGAAGTCAGTACTGAATGGTATGTGTAGCGAGACTGTGCAGTAAGGCTTGCACAGGGAGTATATTCACCGCACCTAAATTTGGACTAGAAATGTGTCTGCGCATTACAAAAAATAAAGGCCAATTTTTCCGAAAATTAGGCTTTGACCAAATCCTACATATAAACAATGTATTATGCAGCAATTACTATTCCATGCACCTATTTTTCTAGCGATTACCAGAAATTTGAGCTTTTGTTTTTGAGGTATCATGCGGCAATTAAAAGACTTTACAGTATGGGGTCTTGGGAGGTCTAGGCTAGACCCGCCATCAATGCAAGTTTTTACCCGGAATTGTCGACTTCTTCCTACTTGGGATCGCTGAGTGGGAATTCCTGATGAAAATCAAGGCGGCTGGCCTTTTTCCATCAATTTAATATCCTTGAACGAATCCTATTTTACAGTACACTTTATCTTTAATCCTTAATTTCCAATCATAGGCCGCCGCCTGTGTAGGCATAGGCCTAGTAGGCCCCAGGCCCTGCTAGGCTTAGAAAGGCTGTGGCCATGCCATGCAGCCATATGCTACTACTACTAGGCCCTAGGGGCCTATCCTTAGGTCTTAAGCCTAAGCTAAGCTTGGCCCTACTACTACTGCCTACATTTTTAGACTAGGCTAGCCTAGTGCCTAAACTTAAAATCCAACTTACCACCGTGCTAGGCCTAGTCTAGTTCTCCTACCAGTCTAGGCTAGGAGTTAAACAAATGCTGTCTCGTTCGTCAGAACACAAGCAAGTGATGTGTTGCTGTGAGACCTTAATTTATATAGGCTAGAAACCTATATGCCTAGGCTAAAATGACGTGTGTCATCTTACGTCGTCAAAATATCGTCAGCATGATGAACGCACAGCATGGATGAGTACTGTAATTAAAACATAGACCTAGGCCTAGTTCCCTACCAACACATTCTGCTATTTTTGAACGGATGACGTTGTCTTCTCCAATCTCTGGGCCTACCTAACAACAAAGATACTAGAAATATCTTTGCTAACAATAATGCCACACAATGACACGGACGGTGAGCAGAATGGCCAGACTACTAAACTATGGAACGCCATTACTGCATTCAGTGCAGGGGTGGGTGACACCAGCGGGGAGGATGGGGGAGCCAGCTCCTGTCGGGGAGTGTCTAGGAACGATATAACATAAAATGGAACCTGTACTCACAATAGACTGTTAATAAGTTGAACCCATATTCAATACCAGAAGTTGTACCTACTACTTCACACCTATAGTAACCTGTATCATTTGCTGTAACACTTGCTATCGTGAGCAGGGACGTAGCCAGGATTTTGAAAGGGGGGGGGGAGCCGTTATATGAATTACGTAGGACCCCGGCGGGGTCAAGGGGGCGAATCTCCCTGTGAAGTAGTGCACTCTGAACGTTCTTAGAACTGTTTGAGAGGATACAGTGAAAATTGCAATAGACGCATAATAAATAAGCGCAAAAATAATTATATAATAAATCAACAGTGGCAGAGCCAGGAATTCGAAAGAGAGGTGAACAAGGGAGGGACATTCACAGACTCTACTCACCTCAGCTGAGGTAAGAAAATTTATGATTAGGGCATCTCTAGACGGCCGGAAATTACACTCTCGCACTTCAATTTGAATATATTTTTCTTTTTTTCCCCTTAAAAAATGAAGTGGGGGGGGGGGCTTTGAATCCATCTCTGCTCAAAACATTCTTTATCCAGAATAGTCATAATCACGAAAAATGGACATGAAAAACCAGATCACATCCTAAAAACAAGCAGCAGTCACTAAGACTTAAGGTCATACCCAGGGAAGGGCACAGATCTGTTTTGAAAGTGGAGGGGGAGGGCATTTTGTGAGTCGACACCCACCTCAGCCCCAC